TTTTTTTTTTTTTAATTTTATTTTTCTTTTTTTTTTATAATTTTATTTTTTATAAACATATATATATATTTTTTTTTTTCCCCAGGGGTACAGGTCTGTGAATCTCCACGTTTACACACTTCACAGCACTCACCATAGCACATACCCTACCCAATGTCCATAACCACCCCCCCTCCCAACCCCCCTCTGCCCAGCAACCCTCAGTTTGTTTTGTGAGATTAAGAGTCACTTATGGTTTGTCTCCCTCCCAATCCCAACTTGTTTCATTTACTCTTCTCCTACGACATTAACCCCCCATGTTGCATCTCCTCTCCCTCATATCAGGGAGATCATATGATAGTTGTCTTTCTCTGATTGACTTATTTCGCTAAGCATGATACCCTCTAGTTCCATCCACGTTGTCGCAAATGGCAAGATTTCATTTCTTTTGATGGCTGCATAGTATTCCATTGTATATATATATACCACATCTTCTTTATCCATTCGTCTGTTGATGGACATCTAGGTTCTTTCCATAGTTTGGCTATTGTAGACATTGCTGCTATAAACATTCGGGTGCACGTGCCCCTTCGGATCACTACGTTTGTATCTTTAGGGTAAATACCCAGCAGTGCAATTGCTGGGTCATAGGGTAGTTCTATTTTCAACATTTTGAGGAACCTCCATGCTGTTTTCCAGAGTGCTTGCACCAGCTTGCATTCCCACCAACAGTGTAGGAGGGTTCCCCTTTCTCTGCATCCTCGCCAGCATCTGTCATTTCCGGACTTGTTAATTTTAGCCATTCTGACTGGTGTGAGGTGGTATCTCATTGTGGTTTTGATTTGTATTTCCGTGATGCCGAGTGATATGGAGCACTTTTTCATGTGTCTGTTGGCCATCTGGATGTCTTCTTTGCAGAAATGTCTGTTCATGTCTTCTGCCCATTTCTTGATTGGATTCTTTGTTCTTTGGGTGTTGAGTTTGCTAAGTTCTTTATAGATTTTGGACACTAGCCCTTTATCTGATATGTCGTTTGCAAATATCTTCTCCTCTGGGAGTTTTCTGATACACTTCTATTTGTCCACATATGTGATGGAAGAAGAACATGTTATGAGCCGTAAGAGCTACAAAGTGCTGCTTAGACAGAAGAGAGTACATAAGGCTATGGGAGAGGTGAAAGAGATGTTTAAGCGGCTATCAAGATACAAACAATTAGAAATAATAAGGTTCAAGTAGACATTCTCATTAAAAGGAGGAGATACACTTTTGTAGAACTGGTAGGGAAAGCAATTTAGCAATATGTATCAACAGCCTTTTTCATAAATTGATGGCATGTAGTTTGTTTCTAGTTTTTTGGGTATGAATAAGGCTATTATGAACATTCTTGTATAAGTCTTTGTGTGGACGTATGTTACTTATCTCTCATTAAAGAAATAAATATTCAATAACACTTGTTAATGCACAGTAAGGAAGACTTTGTTCAAGGGTAGAGGACGATCTTCACAGGTATTGGGAGCAGTGCCATGGAATTTTATAGTGGTGGAGGGAGAGATTGGTCTCAACTTCAAGTACAGCAGAGACAGGTGGGAATTTATAGCCACAGAGCATGGTGCCAGGGTCAGTGGATGGGGAATTACTATGAGAAAACATCAGGACTAAGATTCTGGCTGGATTCTGGCTAAACCAACCTCTAGGATTCTTACTGAAGGCAGATCAGGGTGAAGGATGGGGGATCCTGGTTAAATTCTTTTATGGGGAATTTTGCTAAAATTGGACCATGCAGAAAGGAACAGGGAAGTCCAAAAGTCAGGCTTAGTTTGAAAGGAGTTCTGTAGGGGCGCCTGGGTGGCTCCAGTGGGTTAAGCCTCTGCCTTCAGCTCAGGTCATGATCTCAGGGTCCTGGGATGGAGCCCCTCATCGGGCTCTCTGCTTAGCGGGGAGCCTACTTACCCCTCTCTCTGCCTACTTGTGATCTCCCTCTCTGTCAAATAAATAAAATCTTAAAAAAAAGAAAAAAAGAAAGAAAGTTCTGTAGAACCTGAACAACATTTGGTTAATGACAAAATCTTTGTTATCCTCTTGGGAAAGGATCTAAGAGTCAAACTGCTGATTCATATGCTAAGTGTAGTTTAAATTTTTAAAGAATTTTATTTGTTTAAGTAATCTCTACACCCTACATAGGGCTCAAACTCATGACCCCCAGATCAAGAGTTACATCCTTTCCCAACTGAGCCAGCCAGGTGCCCCAAGTGTAGGTTAAAGTTACAGAAAATGCCAAGTTGTTTTCCAAAGTAATCATACCCCTTTTATACTCTCACCAGCAGTAGCTGAATTTCAATATTCCATCTCCTAGCCACATTATGGTATATTCTCTCCTAATGGAATTGTATCTCACTGTGGTTTTAATGTACATTTCCTTGATGAGTAATGACGTAGAGCACCTTTTCATGTTGTTTTAAAAAACTGTTATTGTCAGTAATGAAATGCAGTCAAGTGTTTAGCACAGTGCCTGCCATGCAGGCACTAGTAAGTGTCAGTACCAATTATAGGTTGGATAAGACTTTCCGCTGGGTAAAATGTGTAATACATGTTACTTGCTTTCCAAAACATCTCCTTTTTTTTTTTTTTTAATTTTGTCTCAGCACCCCAGTTTTCCGTGGGGAGCCCCTTGTCCCTGCTCTCAGTCCATGTGGTTTGGGTTGGCCAACCTTTCTCCAGGCCACAGGCAATGGCATGTCACCCAATGAGAATCAATGAGCTTTGAGACTAGGAGTTTTTTAGGAGTTACTGGGAAGGAGAAGGGCTTATTTTATGCTGATACCTAGGTGTAGGATGTTTTGAACCTTGAGCTCTTGGGGTTATCATGTGGCCTGAGACTGAAGCCATTATGAAGAAAACAGACCTGAAGGATGAAGAGCATTGTCTTGGTTCTAGCTTAACCCGAAATTGACCTTTTTATTTATAGAAACCAACAAATTGCTTTTGTTTAAAACAGTAGGCTTTGTGTCTCTTATTCTAATATCGGGAATCTAATGAATGGAGAAGCTAAATGCAGAGATCTAATGGCCAACTTAAAAAAGAAATATCAACATTTCAAGACTTCAGGCAGGGGCCGAACAACCTCCAAGGTTCAGGATGTTCTGGCAAAGCTGAATTGGAGAATACACTTCGACCTGGAGCCAAAGTGGGGCCTTCTACTCCCCCCGCATCTAGACTTGGGGACCTTCCGTGAGCAGAGTTGGGTTCACAGAGCAGACCCTCTGAGACACTACAACCGTGAGAACTCTAGGTGGGCCTCCCATACTCTGCTGTACCAGTAGAGAAGAAAGGAATGATGGCAAGAGCTGTCTCTGGAAGAGGCCCTGGGCCTGCCCTCTATATAGTTACCTGGTGATGACAGAAAGATCCAGGGCTCATTGTCTTGCTGCAAGCAAGTCAAAGACAGAACAAAGGAACTGGAACTTGCGGAGTGTGACTTTTAACATAAAGAATGACCCTTTTTACAAGTAAACATAGACCAGGAGAGATCGGCTTCTACTAATCAGATTAACTCTTCTCCATAATGGAAGAGTAGTAAAGGGTGAGGAGAGGAATCTGGTTCCAGGTAAGATGGAGAACGCACACCCATCCTGTCTCTTCAACTCAACGCAGCTATAAAATCTGGATGGAAAGCATAGAGCAGGTATTTGGGAACTCTGAAAACTGAATAGTAGCAAGCAAATCATTGAAGACAAAAATTCAAAGTACCATCTAACTGATGTTCAGTTCATAGGATTTGTTCCCCTGTGGCATCCTTCTAGCCTTTACTGTCAACCCAGAATCTTATCTCCAGCAAAAATTCCATCAGGAATGAAGTTAGAATAAAAATGTCAAAAAAATGTTCTCAGATGGAGGAAATCTAAGACCATATTTTTGCTAGCAGACTTGTTCTAAATGAATTGCTAAAGGAGGGGTGCCTGGGTGGCTCGGGTGCTTAAGCAGCTACCTTCCGCTCAGATCATGATCCTGGAGTCTCAGAATCAAGTCCCGCTGCTCAGCCGGGAGTCTGCTTCTCCCTCGGACCCTCCCTCCTCACATGCTTTCTCTCTCTCATTCTCCCTCTCAAACAAATAAATAAAATCTTAAAAAAAAATTGCTAAAAAAAATTCACTAGGTAGAAGGGAAAT